CTGCCCAATCCTGCATCGAACCCAGTAGCCTGGAGAAAGGGAAGAACTGACATCTAGAGCAAGGAGCAGAAAAGAAATAGGAGCATTAGGAAGGCACGTTAGACTGTGAAAGTTGACAAGCAGCAGACAGCAGCTGCTGACAAAGCCCTCCGTTCTGTTGCCATCCTGCCACAGTCCAGATCACGCCAAAATACCCCAGCAGTGCACGTGAGAGCCATCAACCGGTTGAGTGTTCCCTGACGAAGGCATTTCATGTGTTTGTTGTGAGATTAGATACTACACAATATTTGTAAAGATCTGTGTTGCCAGTGTAGTGGAATCACATATCATCAACAGCGATTTAGTAATCACCATTCAGTGGTTCTTCTTTCCTGCACTGCTGCGAGAGTTAGGTGTCTGCTTCCACAGAACCCGTGAAAGACAGCAGAGCCACTGCGAATTATTAAAGCCTAACATCATATAGGGTATAAACATTGGTTGCCTTTAGCCACCCTTCAGGTTCTCTTTATCTCCATGAGTTTACAAGGTTTCTACCACGAGACAGAGAAGGCCAGCTTACAGTTATTGAAGAAGCACTGTAAATAAGCACCTCTCTGGTAACCCTGGATCCACAAACCAAACCAGTGAAAGATTGGCTAGTTATCATCATGCTGAGAACAGGAGCAAAAATGGAGCAGTGAAAAAGAGGGGTCCAAACAGCCCCTGGTTCCTCCATCTAGAGATGTGGAAGACCGGTCTCTACACAGCATCGATCCATTGTTCTACCCCAATGAGTTTGTATGTGGGTTTTTGTTTTCATTTAAAGCAAATATAAAGACCTATGCAAGCTCCTGTGATACATCTGTGTGCAACTTGAGTAGTTCTCCATCAGTACTTTCCTTTGGGGTAAGTTGTGAAAGACAAAGATACTGAAGCATCTTGGAGGGTTATCTTGTGCCTGTGCCGCTTACCGCTGATGCTGTGTTCCATGTATTATGGGACTGGGTTGGCATGAGAAAATTCAGCCTGAAATTACTGAATTTGAGATGCTGTGCAGAGAACATGCATCCTGGTCCCAGTGCAGTAATGGGAGGATGAAGGTGGAATCAATCACAGGTCGGACTGGTGGAAGTTATATCAATATTGGTTCTTGGTGACCACAACTCTCCATTCTTGATCCCTGACATATGACACCTATGCAGTTGGAAAGCTCCACCAAAAACAAAAGAAAAAATAAAAGGGGACAGCGGAGAAATAACTACTTTTTAAGCTTAAAAAGCAATCTTACACAGAAAGCACCGCTAGCCTTTTTCACAGTGGGAAACTTATTTCCACTGTAGCCGCTTGTTCTTCAAGAACTGGTTTAAAGAAAGGTTTGCAGATCTTAGTTAACGAAAATCTTCTTTAACGTTTTGCCAAATAAATTTGGTCGTTGATTTGAACGTGAAAGATACCTGCTGTTAGATACCAAAGATGTAACCCCCAGTTGCTACCACACGGGTTAAGAAATCATTCTGTGTAAGGTGGTCTCTCACTTCCTCACGAAATTCAACAACAGACCCACCTAAGTGGCTCATAGCCTTTCCTAGGCCACTAGTGTATCTGCCAGTTTTTTTAATGAAGGTTTCATCTTGCATATCTAAAGCAGTAGAAGGAAAAGTATTAAGGCTTATTTGTTCCAGTTTAGTAACAAGTTTAACCCAAACTGGGGAAGTGTGATGATGGTATTTTTTTTTGCGCTGTCTGGACATGCTACTGACCTATTTAAGGGAAACTCTGCTTTTTACCTAAACTTGGTCAAAGTGTTGTATTTACAGCTCTGTATGAGATACAGAAAGACATTCCTCTGCTGAATCTAACAGTCCTTACCTGTCCGTAGACAGAGGTAGTCCTACCTGAAATACTTTATGCAGAACTAAAGTGTAAGCAATGCGAGAAACGATGTCTACACACGCAGCTGGTGTGGCTTGAGCCTGCATTTCGTGTTCTCCTTTACACCGCTGTTTAAAAGGCAAGGGCGCTGACTGGGCGCCTGAGGAAAATTTGTTCACATCATTTGCCCAACGAAAAAAAGTTGCTTTTGTAGAAAACAGCAGAAAATGTTTATCCCAGATTGTTTTCCTTCTCTGGTCCAGAGAATTTACATTAGTTCCAGAGGACTGCAGCAGCTAAACAGAGTAGACCGACAGCAAGGGGTGGCAGTGGTGTAAGTACACCGAACTGTTCTGCCTTTGTGAAGCCATGCAACAGAAGGCGCTTTTCCAGAAAGCATTCTTCAGCTGACTAGGTCACACCTCCTTCGTATCATGTGGCACCGCAGTCAAATGCTTTGGTAAGTACTGCAAGACTGAAGGCTTAATGCCATTACAGATTTGAAGTATAGTTGTATAGGACAAATGACAAAATGATGGCCTTAATTAACTGCACCTTATGCACATCATCTTTATACACACACACGCTCACAAGTTATTTTGACCCAACATGTAAACCAGCGTGCCTCTAACTGTTGTCATCAGGTGCAAATTTTCCATTACACAGAGTCTCGGGCTAGTTTGCGTAGCAGCCGTCGTGAACTTCTTGTGGCCACTTCTTTGAAGCATTTGGGAACACAGTATGTTTAAGAGCAAGTATTATCTTGCATTCTATATCCTAAGCCTAGAATTGAGGCTATACAAAAACCTAGATGCACTGTCAGGTTTGTCCAAAGTCATATTTATATGAAATATTTAAATATTCCCTGCAATTCAATTGTGAACTGAAGCTTACTGTATACTTGCACAAAGTAACACTAGACTGTTACTTAGGTTGACTTATTTTTACTTTGTTGCAAAACTTTAGCAAATGATCAGAGTTCCGACTATGCTTGTAATTCCTTATCTAGAACTAAAGAAAATATAAAAATGACTAGAGAAAGTATGTATCTGTTTAACTAGCTGTGTTTAGAGACACAGTAGAAGAGTTACCCAGGCTATTTTATTTTGTAAACAGAATCCGGAGCTTATATAAATGGTGATCTTAAATCCATTCACAAGAGAGCAGAGACGGGGCTCCCATCCTTGGGGAGAATGCAAACCACAGAAGTTACAGGAAAATGCTAACACCGAGATCTCTGCCCCACTGAGCTCTGTTAAAAAAAAAAAAACAACCAAAAAAAAAAACCGAAAACATGAGTGAGGAAACAGCTACATGTTATCCTTCCCATTTCAGGATTGATAGCTTTAGAAATGGTCATTTAAGCCTAACAATTATTCATACATTACATACATGTACAAGTATGTCCAATACAGTAAGAATTACCACTTCCACCTGTTCTTCGAATGGACTGTATCACATCTGTCAACATGAAGCACAAGATGCACCACGTAATACAATGCGGTTGCCGCTCACAACTTCATATGGACTCGTGACAAAAAGGATCATTATGTTGTCAGGCCTAACTGTTGGAAGAAACAGTCTCCAAGATAAGGATTAAGACACTCCTTTCTGGCTTTAGCTTCCAGGCAACAGATCTGTTGAACTGCTCCCTAGCTGACTAATACAACCTCTCAACCCTCGACAATTACAGGCCACAAATACCATAACCTGGCAAGAAGTAGCCACCTCTCTTCTCCCTTCCTATTATCGCAATTCCCTGAGCCTGGATGCCTCCCCCAACCAGCCCTGCAGCTATTTCCCATGCTTTTGCATCCAGTTGCCTCACTATTTCTGCACGCTACTCTCCTTAATTTTGAAAGAACAAAAACAAAATTAAAAATACCAACAGTTCTCCATGTTGAGACTTTTTTTTACAGAGAACAATTTTCTTAACATTTCCCAATTTGTCTGGATCACCAATAAATACCAGTAAAATCATCAGAGTTGGAAGGCTATTTAACTTCAGCGTTTCAGATCCTTTGCTTTCATTTTGAGTTTTCAACTGCAATTTATGGATAAAACATAATGGACAAAAAGTATCGAGCAACAACCAGTAAATTAGAACTTCTTTCGTCACCAATTTCTCCTGTATTGTATAAGCTCCTATTGTATCAAGCTTTTAAAATAGCTGGATGTGTGTTAGTGTTTCTTTTAATTACTTGTTAATAGTTCCTGGCACTGACATTCCAAAATAGTTAACAGAATTGTATTTCATACACTTACCCTCTTAGAATTGTGACAAACTCTTTTGGTGGCATTCCCTGACAATCAGGATGAAATGATTTTTGCTGTGAGGGCTTTGTAGTCCTATTCCTTTTGCTGTGCCAACATCGACATTCAACCAGCCACATGGCGAGCCATTTCAGGGGGCAAAACTTGCCAGAAATCTAAACAAAGTCAGTAGTGTTTCTCTCCTTAAACCATCTCACCACGACTCCAGCGAGTGCCAGAGACGGCACAAGAGGAAGCTGGACTACCCAGTCTGCTGGGTAGTCCATCCCATACAACCGCATGCTGATTCTCAGGGAAGACAAGGCTCCTGAGAAGACAGATAAATGCTGACTTTATTATCCGTACAGCAGTGTCAAGTCTCATTTAACCTATATTCCAAGGTGACACAAAATGCAGAACAAAAGACAAGAAACCACATCTCAGTGGAATTAACTTTTATTAAGGGGAAGAATGGTTTACATGTAGTTGTAGGTTTTTCCCATCCATACTTTCAAAACTCCAAAAAGGACTGGAAACAAAACTTGCTTAATCATTATTGCAATACCAAAAAGTTGGTCGTTTTTGTTGGTTTGGGTTGTTTTTTTTTTTAAATGAACAGCAAATTATATAACTAATTGCTATGTTCAATAAATATTTTTTTCTCCTGCACCGATTAAGGGGAAATACTCAACCGAGTACAATAAAGCCCCCAGGATTTTTACAGTTTTAACTACAAATGTTATCCACTGTGTAGCAATCCAGAAACTTTATCTATAAAACACAGCCTTAATTTTGAGTGTACAAGGATCTATTTTCCCAGTCAAATTTTGAATTTTGCTCTAGCTCAAATAGTCTACACTACTACCTGACAAAAAAAAAAAAAACACAACCAACAACCAAACTGCTCTAGCTCAAATAGTCTACACTCAGAGCAACTACCTGAAAAAAAAAAAAAAAACACAACCAAAAACAACCAAACATCCTCTGGTTCATGACTATCTAAGTAAATTTGTCATTACAGAAAAGGCTCAAAGTTGTTACTTATCAAAGTAATAGGTAAACATTTTAACAGAAAGATTAACAAGTTACTTGGAAATGCAGGTTTATATTAAAGTATCTGAGTGTGTATATTACATATGACATGCAAGCTTTAAAAATATCAATGCTCTCTTCTGATTAGCAAGGAGTCCAATTGTTTTAAAAACAAAATAGGAATGACTTCCAAAATGTATCAGCACTTTGGGTTGCTATTTCATTTTGCTTAAGATGTTTTACTACACAAAAACTACAACAATTACAATATTTAAGAGTATTACAATAAGGAGGGATGGAAAACAGGAATACTTCAACTGAAAAATATGTATATTCTAAATGAACCAAAGATTTGTAAAAGAGCTGGATGGAGAACAAGGAAGGGAAGATGGGAGGGAAAGCAGTAGGGAAGCTAAGATCTGAACTTTGTATTTAAAAATCATGTCCTCAACTGTAACTCTTCTGATCTTCAGTAGCGCCCTGGTGGGGGGGAGAAAAAGAGACAACACAATTACTATAAACTAACTCTTTATACAGTTAGTATACACACACACCCCCCATCTCAGCTTTAATGTGCACAGCTTTTTTGCTTTCACATTCAGAATTTCCTTTAATTAATTAATACTGGTAACAGCAAGGTTTAAGCCAGCCAGATTCTATTTATTCACTTGTATTTACTTACTTGGACTATAGGAACGGGATCTTGATCGTGATCGGTACCGACTATAATAAGGCGATGGTGATCGTCTCCTTTAAAGGAAATTAAAAGAGAAACTCAACAACATCCGTTATGAAAGCAGCCTTATTCACATCACTTCTACAGAACAGAACCATTTCCTTAGCACTGAAAGACTTGGCCTGTATGAATGATTTCAGCTTTATTTGGCTGTGGCTTACAGTTACTTAACAAATGCTTTTATATTTCTCTATTTGATGTGTTTAAAACTGTAAGATATTCCCAGACAAAGAATTTAATAAACTCACTACCCTTGCAAACACATGAAGTGCTTTTCCAGATGCCTACAATTCTTGTTGAACAAGATTCTCTGAAACTAGATAACGTTCAAAACAGTGAGATGGTTATGAAACGTCAAGCATTAAAAATCCCATCTAAAGCCCTTTTTAAACAGCACTATGTATCAGCTGTCCCTGGTTCTATATACAGCATGGAAAAATGAGTTCCCTTTCTATCTGTCCACTAGATTCGTAGGGCACATGCTCCACCTCCTTCAGATAGCAAAACTAACCCCTTGCCCAACTGTTTACTGTATAACCAAGTTACATAAACACTGAAGACTACTTTAATCCCACAAAACCTAATGTAATGAGGCTCTAACACGTAGCAAGCATGTATGCAGAATCTTGCTACAAACGCAGTAACATTTTTTTGTCACCTAACTTTTCAGTTTTTCCAACAAATCCACTGTTCCTACAGAAATAAAATAAAAATTAGGTACCTGTATCTGTAGTCATATTCTTCATATCTGTCATATCCTCTGTCATACCCCCTATCATAATATGAGTCACGGCGACGACCTGCTCCACCGCCACCACCTCCTCCACTGCTATTAGGGGGAAAAAAGCAAAAAAAAATTACTTTAGAGATCTACTCTTCATCTTGATTTAAATTATTTAAAAGCTTTTTTTAAGTGTTCTTGTAAATCAAACACTCAAGACTATGCCATGAAACAATCTAACAGTGAAACATTTAAGGAAAAACACCTTCAAAAAAACCCAGAAAACCCACCAGGGATTTGAGCCTAATTCCCATCAAAATCAAAGGCAAATGGGCACCTTAGTATTTCAATAAGCTAAGGGTGCATTAACTGACCATGCTGGATATGTATTTTTTTAAAATAACTCCTTCAGTATTCTTTTAATAAATAAAGATACAGTAAGCTATAGTAGGATTTAATAGTATATGCGAACCACAGTAACGCATTCTTTACATTAATAGTTTTGTGATAAAATACAATTGGCATAACTAAAATTTCAAAGAAGTATCTGTAGCTCTATTGCTTCAACCAGACTCCAAACATTCACTTTAAATCCATTTTAGTCCCATTACAGGAAATGAGTGAGCTCCTTACTGTGTTGGCCTGCCCATGTAGATGCCTGGGGTGGGCGTATGTGCTCTCTTGGTGATTGAGTAATCCACCCGAATTCTCCTGCCATCCAGCTCCATACCGTTTGCATGCTCCATTGCCTGCAGGAGAAACAAGAACAGGGATGTGAAACCTGCAACCTACTGGTAACTATGGAAGGCTATGTACAAAACACATTATTTTCCATCAGAAAACACAAGCCCTGAACTTGTTTTATTTAGACTGGTTACTAGTGCCCCACTGTGGCGAATGGCTCATCTCTGTCCCCTGGCCCGTTTGCCGGCAGTGTTACAGGACTGCACTGGGGTGCCGGAGTAACGTGACACGCAATCCCTTCTTAAGAGAGCACGGTGCTAATCACTAACACAGTCACTTTCCCTAGACTTTGTCTTCTACCCATCAGAAAGGTAAACTGGAAGTCAAAACAGCTTTTTCTGAAAACTGCATCTTTCCTACCGCCGTTTCTGACCCAGAGGGGATGGGCGGATTCAAAAGCTGTGCAAAACAGTGGCTTCCTGTAGGGTGCATATGGCCGGATTACTGCTAGTCGGCTGCCATTTCATGCTCTCCCAGCCTCCTGCCATCTCCCTTACAAGGACCCACTCCAGCAGAGCTTAGTAAAATGGCGGGTTCAGCCTACATGGATACCTAATTACAACCTTCCTCCCCACTCACTCTCACAATAGCAGCTCGCTAAAGCAATACACATAAGGGTCTGCGCTTGAGAAGCCTGTGCCTTCAGACCCGCCCGCAGCCCGTGCACACACACGCACTGGGTGTTCTAGCCCCTGTTTCTACAGTCTTTGAGAATCAATACAATGGCCTTTCACAAACTCAAAATCGTGAAAATAGTTTTTCAAAGAAGCACACTGTACTTCTGAGAATTTTATTCATGCAACACTAACTTAAAAAAAAAAACACCAAAAAAACCAACACCCACAACCTTAAGAATTTAACAAACAGTTAATGCTGCACTTCAAAGCTATTAAAATTTGCAAAGCAAATTTTTTTTGATCCTTTCATCAGCTACTCCAGGATCTCTGAAACACTAGTACACACCACAATTCACGACACTAAGCACAGCACTTAGCCCAACATACATTATTTTCATTTTTCATGTGTGGAGAAGAGACACTGTTACAAACTTGAGTTAAAGAACACAACCACTTTGTTATTATTTAACTGTGAGGAACAATACACAACCTCAAAACATGAAGGTGCCTCTAAACAGAGCATTTTTTTCTTTTTTAAAATAATGAAACAAGCAACTATTCAGAAACGTAACTTTTTGCAGCTCACTAACAAGAACCTTATTGAATTAACATACAAGTTATAGAGGAGGAAACAAAAACCTGACACCCACATGATTTAACTGTGATGTCCCCAAATTGGAAGTGACTGAATTATCACTAACCTATTTAACTACACTTAGTTTGTGTTTTAATAATGCTGTTTATAGCTATACTATATCGCCACCTAGTGAGTTCTGTTCCCATACAAAAATAAAACTACATTTACCTAACTGCAAGGCAGAGCCAAAGAGCATTTCAAGTCTTTCAACATACACTAAAGTATGTTTTGTGAATAAAACATCAGCTTTAGTTTCCTAGCCTTGAGACTTTTTTTTTGTTTAACATCCTGTTCCACAAGGATGATCTAAATTAAAATAAATCCATGCACACATCCTAGGTATGTGTGCACAAACCTAAAAATGAAGGCTGCAAATAGCTGGCTGAAAAATTAGCTTCGTGATGAAAAGCATTCTGGAAATGCAGCAATATGCAAGTTATCTTGAAAGGTAAGGAATTTTCTGCTTCATGGCATTTTTATGTCCGATCAACAACTTGCAGAGTAATAAGCTTAGCTGACAAGAAGCCACCTCAAATCCAGAACATCCGGCACATGCGCCTTAGTTAGAAGAACAAACACCTCTTTAAGAGGAAAAGTTCTTTGACATAGGGAGCAGTACAGAGAAGAGCAACATAGCAGCAAGACAGATGAAGAGTTAATTTTGAGACTTGATTGTTGGTTTTGGAAGTACCAAGAAATGTGTTACATTTCAGTGGATAAAGATTAGAGTTCATAGTTACCAGGCTGCATGAAACTCCAACACCCTGGTCACAATGTCTAATGACCTACCCAATATTAAAACTTTAGTTTTCTTAGCTTTCAACAGCTGTCAGCAATAACTGCCAACTAGAAAATGTAAAATAATCTTTACTAGATATACAGACCTAACAAAGCCTTTTACAGTTCTGACTGCATCCCCCAAATACAGAAAAGCTGAAACCTACAATAAGCCATTATGAATCCAACAATAACTGACAGCATGTATCACTCACATTCAGTCATTAGCAACTGGAAATTCCTTCCAAAGATGTTTTCAAATTCTCTGCATCATTCTTAATGTGCACATCTCAAGTCTTTGAAACAAAGTACTTAAGTTGACATTATTAGCTAACGACTGCTGCAGTATGACCAAAAGCCCTACTTGAAAACCTGGTTTCAGACAAGTGATACAACAGTATTTATTTTGTACAAAGGCTGTAAAAACATATCGGTGATTCTAATTACTGACATTTTTGTGTTTTCTTTAAAGTTAAAACAGTTTATAATCAAATGTTGGATTTTACAATTTTATTAGACTAGCATGTCATATTCAAAACAAATTCCAGTTTGCTTTTCTTGCTGTTTTTGGGTATGCATGAAGGCTGTGTTAAGAACATTCAAATGCCAAAGGGAAAAAGTTTGCACATTTGCTCTAACAATGCATAAGACATTCTCAAATACTGTATAAAAGATAGAAGTGTGTTTTCCAGACCATCAAATGAAACATTTTGAAGAGAAATAAATTATATTTGGGTTTAAGATACACAATACCCTCTTAGGAGCCTTTAACTGTCAACAGTCCATTTTTATTTCAACCTGAACTTTCTTCCAAATATCTGAATGTTGTGAAAAGACTTGCATGGCTTTCACAAGACGACAGTAAGCAAGCAAGTGAACAGGATTCCCATTAACATGTACTATTAGTTTTGGTTGCAAATTCTAAGGAAAAATTGACTTTGTAGGCCAGAATACACATCTATATGTTTGCAGTCAGAAAACAGAGAAAGAGGATTGGGAATGGCACGGGTAATAATTCAATCTTAGATTACCGTTTTAAACCTACGGCAGTCTATCCATACTAACAAAACTCCTTCAAATTATTATCTGTAAGGTGTTAGTTTGACAAAATGAGCAGTTCCTGAACTACAGGATCATGGCCTCCAGAGGCTCAAAACAGTTAGAAAACATTAAATTTAACAGATTTCAATTTCATTTGATATTCATTACAGTATGTGGTGTTTTCTACATGTATTAGCATTTAGGTAGAGTAAAACAAGTTTGGAAACACTGAAGTTTTAATTATATGCACAAACTTACACAGGTGACTCATTAGTTAAGCAATCAAGAATTCACTGAAAGAAATTAAATAATCTTTCAGTCTGGATAATGCCACAAAGAGCAGCCTGGACAAGGAAATGATGTGGGAAATTTCTGCAACCTGCACTGTGGTCACTGGGGGAAGTGTGTGGGGAGGAAGGGGGGAGAAGGGAGGAAGAGAACTTGACTTGGCAGAGCTGATGTCACAGTCACCTTACATTTCAACCATGGAGTTCAAGATACCTTTTGTATTGTACAAAAGATCATCAAGCCTTCACTTCAACTGCATCTAACTGCTTTGAATTACTTCAGCAATGTGACATCACTACAAAGTTAGTGACGTACAGACTGAATACACTTGAATAGTCAAACATGAGCAATTCATGCTGGGATTCATTCTGAAAATGTATTTTCATTATTAAAAAAAACTATATGAGATACTGTCTTTTTTTGTTTGCTGTGGTTTTTTGGGGGTTTCTTGTTTGTTTGTTTTTTACCTGAAGTCCTTCCCATATTGTATTTAAAGCCACCAATAAAAACATCATCTCCACTGTATGAGAGGTACAGCATGGGATGAACAAACATAACAGATTAGCTTTTCTCCCCCCAGTATACTGATATCACTAGTTCAGGTCTGGATTTAATGAGGACATCTGAAAGGACATTCTGGAAAAAAAAAATCTCATGGGATGAAAAAAGGAAATTAAGAAACCCAGCTTTTTACACTTACTGCAGTTTGCCAAGTTGAATTCAAGTGTCCATTTCACCTTTGAACAAGAGTCAATTTATATTCTCTAGTTTGAGGTTGTTTTACATTGACAATATTCTAATATTTTAAAACTTTTTAATATGTAATTTTCTGAGCTTAAACATCTATTGATTACATGTATTGTCTTTAAAGCATACTTTAAAGAGTTTCAGAGTCAAGAAATGCAGGATTTTAGAGAACCAGAGTGAGTAACTGGGTATGTTTCTGCAAGTATTAGCAATTTCATGGTATTTCAGAGTCTCCAGAAGTCTGTAACTTGTCATTCCAAACATTTGAGACCTTCTTGTGTTCTTTTCTGGTATATCAAGGGTCCCTTCTGACACCACAAACAACACTTAAAGCATTTCTTCAACAAGCTATGGGAGAAGTTTTGGTCAATAATGATGCTTCTAAGCTGCTCTGCTTGCACCACAGATTAAATGTCTTGCAAATTAAAATGATAAAACCCTGTTATTATTCCGGTCTTTGGCAACTGAATTATGTTAATAGTTCAGTTTGTCGGTATAAAGTTTGTCTTGATCACTAATGAACACTACTTCAGAAACGGTTCTGAAAGATGGTCAAAACTGTAAAGAGCATGTAATTAGCATTAGAAAACAGAAAATTCCTTATTGCCAACAGCTGCTGTAGCTAATGCTTCTCAGATGAGTTCTTGCTACAGACACATAGTACACTCACAGTAGCCTCAGTTTAAACAACAACTAATACTTCATATTCTGAGTTACTGAAAAGCTGGATAGTGGCATATGGAATCCCTGGTAACTGTAGTAAGAATCACTTCCCTAGAACAGCCAGCACTTTTTAATTATAATCCTCTCAATTTATTGTTAACCCTGAGATAATCACACACACACTTTTTTTTTTTTTTCCTTCTTTCTCATCTAGTACATAGAATCATAGTTTGGATTGGAAGGGACCTCTAAAGGTCATCTAGTCCAACCCCACTGTTAGGGACATCTTCAACTAGATCAGGTTGCTCAGAGCCCCATCCAACCTGACCTTGAATGTTTCCAGGGATGGGGCATCCACCACCTCTCTGGGCAACCTGTGCCAGTGTTTCACCACCCTCAGCGTAAAAAATCTCTTCCTTGGGTCTAGTGTAAATTTACCCCCCTTTAGTTTAAAGCCGTCCCCCCTTGTCCTGTCGCACCAGGCCCTGCTAAAAAGTCTGCCGCCATCTTTTTTATAAGCCCCCTTTAAGTATAAAAGTTTGTGTTCCTCTAAACACAGGAAGAAAATCCTAATGTGATGGGCACACAGAGGTGAATATCCTCTATAATCTAGCAAAAACGTTGCAAAACTGCAACATTACAACATGGGCTCAGTGCCAGCATTGCCAATACTGAGAACTATATAAGAATGAAAGCCAATCTTGAGAAACAGGTCTTCAACAGATGTTTACAGATCTTGCCCTTTGCATAATGTTGCACATGTGGTTCTGAAGACTTAGCAGAAGGGTGGCCAACATAAGACACTGCAACACACAAGGCAAAAAAGCAATACCAAATATTACTTAGAAAAGGGGCGGATTTTTTTTTTTTTTTTTTTTTTTTTAAGAAAAACAACATTACTTCACAAAAAATGAAAACCACTTCAACACCCATAAGACAGAATATCCTTTCTTCTAGAAGAAAGTACGTAAGAACATAAGCTTTTCAAATAGGCTTTGAACAAGCACACCGAAAAGAACATTAGCACAGCAAAACCTCAGGTTTTCTGGACAACCAACCATCAATCCTCAACATTTACTGTCTGCTATCACACTTTGAACTAAAGACAGTGTCTGCGAGCATCTTCAATATGGGTCAGAACGTAACAATCTAGTCAAGTGCTATCTTGCAAACACTAGACCATTGCAATAAAAGACATCTGATACAAAAGGAACCTTCTGCCAGACCATAAAGTTTCATCTCAATCTCGGTAGTCTCAAACAGAGTAGAAGAGATTCCGCAACAAATCTCCTTTAGAATGGATACATGCATCCAACACTTCTTTCCCAATCCTGTTATGGTGGAATGACTGAAGCTACTATGATACTCTGACAGCTGCTCTACCTAGTAGTTATCAAAAGCTAAATCTCTGCTCCTCTTTACAACCAAGATGATCATAAACAGCTAACGACAAGGCTGCTACGGCGTCATAATCAAACAAGTTCTGAAAGTCTAAAATAGCTTAAGTGAAAATAAACTTTACTACTGCCCCTTTGATGTTTTTAGGACACTTCTAAGTATCACCTTTAAGAAACACTATTTTACATTGTTTATGGATTTCCACAACATCGAGCTAGTTGACAATTTAAAATGTCTTTACCACTGTATGGAACTAGAAACATTGCATCGCTTGGTTTCAGAATCTTGACACATAGCAACATTTTAACCAGCTCAATAACTGATCCAATTTGTAAGAGTGGTAACCAGTGACAACAAAGATCCTGAGGGATTTCAGTTGCAACAGAATCCACACAATACTGATGCTGACCTATCTTAAACCAAGTTATGAAAGTTTAAACGTAACTACTCACAATTCATTTGGTGTCAAATTTTAATATTAACAGCGTTTGAGAGCATGTCACCTGAGAGGCTTCCCCGTTTTACCTCTCTTAGAGGGACAATAGTGAAGATGATGGGAAATCCTCATTTTTTTGTAGAGTTCTACACATATTTAATCCATCTAGGACTGCTTTAAAAGGGCTGGAATTTAGTCCATCATCTCATCTGGAGTTTTATATTATCTTTATTCAGATGCTAAGGGTGTTGGGGGTTTTGGGTTTTTGTTTGGGGTTTTTTGGTTTTAAGAGGAAAGGTATTTACTCAGAACAAAAGTAATTCAAGTGTCATTGCTTTTATGCATACGCAACTTTTCAGATTTGATCTATCTTCCACACAGAGAATTACTTTGTGTCCTTCAGTGTTCTCCTACAAGGCCTGTCACAGAGTTTCACACCTATAGCTATATCGCCTTTATCTACACTAGCTGCCACTTATTGCCATCTTCAAATCTGTACTCAAGGCCCATGAAGTAAGTCAAATAAACAAGTTTTTCCTCCTGTCCTTTTTGCCAAAGTACTTCAGTTATGTAAATTCCAAGCGTTGGGAGGTTTTGCATCCTTTCCCGCTCTTCATGCGCTAGCCCGCTGGGGAGAAAAAAAAGTGGGTCTAATTACATTCCAATTATTTCAGTTCCTGCTTAAGGTGCTCATCTTTATTTCTGTATTTATGACTGCAAGTAATATCCCTTTTTTTTTTCTTTGCATTCCAGTTTTGCAGTATCTGCCAAAACAGCTTTATACTAAACAAATTACTTCATGCTATTTACACGGAACATTTTAAGAAATGCATTGTGTCATGCATGACCATTGCGCATGGCAACTAGGAAAAAACCTTAATTCTAAAGACATATAAAGTTGTAAAATAGACAAGACTGGCACATGAACGTGACAAGAAATATTGTGCAAGTATTTTGGACGTTAAGTGTTCTACAACACAGTCACATTTTCAAAATCCCACTGAACTCAGAGTGCAAAGAAATACAAGGCTAAAAGTTAGAAGAGAGTAGGCCATTAAAGGTGGATATACAGCTATCCACCCCATTAACTCCTCTCTTAACGTGTCCGAGTGGTAGCGGGAAAACACAGAAGGGACACTAAAGGAAGTTTTCTGTCCTTTTACTTACCCCTGTAATGTGCAACAATCACACATATATACATCTACAAACCCTACTGTTCCCATAAACTGATTCTCTGTTGGATCATTCCAGAAATCAGTCAAAGATCAGAACTGAGTCTAGTTCAACCAAGTCATCCACAAAACATTTTTTTCATTAAAATATCAACTAGCATCAGTGTTCATTTTTCAGCTACTGACAGCAGGTTCCACAGCAGTCACCCTCCCTCCCTTCAACGCTAAGTGAGAAGAGTCATATCCAAGCATTATGAATATACTTATCAAATGCAAACAGAATCAAACAGCAAATCTGAAACATCTGTCCAAGACTATTAATCCATAAACAAGATCCTTGAAATCTGTGACTCAGTTTGCCCAAAAGAAAGATAATCCCACAGTGAAAGCTTAAAGAAAAATTAAAAAAAAAAAAAAAAAAAAAAATGTGTTTTTACTTTTAATAGCAATTTCATCTACAAATTTCAGTAAATGTAGTTAAGCTCACAGTATCCTTACACAGGTAAAAAAAGTACTGCTTATTGTGGTGAACCATAATACAGGCTGCTGTTCATATTCTTTGATTCTTTCCTTACAGATCAATTATACTAACAACTCAGTCCAGCTGTAAACAGCTATCCGTGTAACTAGCAAAGTCACTGACCAAGGCACAAATCAAGACAAACCACACTATTTTTCAAATGCACAATGACATGCTTTTAGAGAAGAAAATGGAAAGCAAATAGCATCATCAGAATTTTGATAGATACAGAAAATTACTTTGAAAAGTTAACTTTCAAAGTATTTAAAAAATACTAGGAGACTTCTATGTCTGTCTAAAGATTTACTTTCATTTTGAAGTAACAGACTAAAATCAAAGCACAATGCTCATTAGTGATTAAACACAGACAGCTCATGCTCAAAATTTGTCCAAGCTTCTGAACACTGAACTAAAATGCTTCATCTGTTTGAAAGTGCCATGTTGTTTGAACAAAATATTTTAAATTAATCTCACTGTGAGAACCTGCTATTGAATACACACTCAAAAATTGTGGATTTCTTTTTTTACACAGATATTCATGAAGACAATGCACAAAGACCAGACCTGCTGAAAGTAGTAAAGCATGAATTTACCTCTTTAGAATCATCAATTCTCTCAAAATAAACGAAAGCAAATCCTCTTGATCGTCCAGTCCGTTGATCATAAACCACATTGACACCAGTCAAAGGTCCGTAACGGGAAAAGACTTCACGCAAATCTCTCTCAGTAGTATACAAACTGAGACCAAACACTCCAAGACACGTATTAGGATCTGGATTAGCCTGGTAAGACAAACGTTCAACTCCAATTAAGTGTATAAAAAACAAGTCATACATTCTCATATTAAAATTTCTCAATTATTAAAAAATTTTAATCTGAGGAAAACTAAGCATAGTTTATTACAAAGCTTAACACTTCAACAGTTATCATTCTAAGATATTTTCAAAAAGCAACTACTTTCATGATTTTTATTTTAGAAAAAAGACAAAGATTAATTTCTCATGGTGGTGAGAAACTGAGTCGATAAAAATTAAGCATTCTGATTACAGAAAAGCTATAGAATAACAGGAACCTATTTTATCAGTATTTCACACTCGAATCACCAACAAGCTGCAGACATGACATACAAGTCTGCACTAAGAACAGGTCAGCCAGCCTGAACTCCCACCTTCAGCCTTTCTGTACAGTCACCACTGATACTGAAGAGTGCACGCTGCCTCCAGTTGCACACACTAAACGCATTTGAGCTCCTAAGAATGGACAGTTGAACTATAATTTAGCTTCACCAAACTTCCTCCCCCCTCAACATTTCCTATCCAACTATACTGAAAGTCAGTATCTACATTTGAATGTTTATCTCTTTCCACTTGTAAACTAGATGAAAATCACTTGCTTCTTTCATCTAGATAGTAACAAGTGTTGAAGGCCAGTTCTGTGAAACTGTAATCCAAAAGCACGCACACTTTTCCAGAGCAAGACTCTTAATTCTTTAACATGATGTGGAATACAGATCTACTTAATACCTTTCACTTCGACTAAAGGAAGTTAAATACGAAATTGTACAAGATACAATTTCTCTTAGATTAAAAGTTTCTCTACATGCCAGAGAGTTCATCTAATGTCAATTCCACTGTAAGAATTATTTTAACCAAAATTAACGGGTTTTTCAGTTAAGCTTCTGGCACCTGTTATACTAGATGCTGCAATTCAAAACAGCAGCAACAGGCATAGGGATTTAATGTTTCTTCTACAATAATAACTGGAAGTTGACACTGTTGAAATTTGTATTTCAGTTTCAGATTTTCAAAGCCACTGATGCACAGTAATTCATGCCTCAGAGCTTGCTTTTCAGCCTGATTCAAAGAATAAACAGGTTTAGATCTTCTGTTGTGTTCTTTTCAGAGCTTTTGTTCAGGAATCCATTGTGAAAATAAGATGCCCAAACTACTCACATATTTGAAGTTTCTTTCTTTCCATTTGTCAAAATTCAAACTTTTGTTTTAAGATATGAATCTTCTACAACACCTTATTACAGCTGAAGAGCACAACAACAACTGGCAGTTTGTCATTTGAAAGTTTTAATTATACAGGTTTAAGTTTCTTTTTTACTCCATATTTCAATCTATCTGGTAATTCAGTAGCATTAACAGCTATACTCCTTTTATTACCAAAACTCTTGTGAGTCTAACGAGATCTCTCAGTCTTTTAAATCATTGTTTGGACAAGTCCCTCCACACAGTACATATCAGTATTGTCCTTTTTTTACAGCCCGCTTATACTTAAACCCCATTACTTTTTCTGAGGCAAGAGAAGTACCGAGAATCAGTCTGCACACCCTAAGCGACAAGTGACAGTTACATCACCACTGGAAGGACTAAACTGACTGCGGAGGACTAAAAGACAGCTTTTATATTAGGTTTTTGTACTGCCTCCCATCAACACAGTACGCAAGATCTCTCCACAAGATCAGAAGTGGCAAAATTGCTACCAATTTTCCTGGTGTCTTTAGGACCTCGCTATTCAGGGGATTCAAATCTGGTTGAGTTGATTTGAGTTTCGTTTTGACACTACTAAAACTACTCCTTAGAATTAATGTGAAATTCACTGTGAAAACAAGTTTCGTGTTTCACAGAGTCATTTTCAAGGCAAAAAGACTTCTTCACAGAGCAAAATATTCTAATATTTCCTAAAGTAGTAAAGTGGATTCATTCATCTTTCACCAGGAAATCTGCTAGCCCTTTTGAAGTTCAGTTATTCCTGCCAATTTTTCAAGACATTAGATTCATATTGACTACATCATGATTACACACTGGCAACAATCCACAAAAAGTGTAACCATGAACGTTGCTTCACAACAGCTTAAGCCACTGTACATCAGCACTGCTGTAGTCTTGCCCTTTTCCACACACTCTTGTCTTCTCCCTCACATTGGTATTATCTGGTCCTGGTGAGCTGCTTCACCAAGGTAAACCTGCAAAAAACCTATACTCCTTTTGACAGGATTAGTAAAAAAGTTGGAGAAACTAACCCAGATTAAAGCTAAAAGGATCAGAAAAGTACCACAGCCCTGACCAAGGAAGAGGCACGCCTGTGTGTAACAGCACTCATTTAGATCAGCCTGAAGTGACGTGGAACCAGAAGCTAAGGCACTGAAACGGATTATAAAGAAGGCCATCTCTCAGAATGATGTAAGATTAACATCTTAGATCTTGGTTGGTGTACCTATACTTCCTCCTGTCCATACAAAGATACTTCTCATTACAATTTGAGAGGCTTACTGATCCTTTTCATAACTGTAAATTTTTCTAGTCTATTAAGATTTACACATTAGCTAATAACACATGGGTTTATTTCTTAAAGTTAAATCAAATTAATTACTCAGAGGTATAAAATCACAAGCAACCTTCAACATAATATGCTGTATGTTATAAGCAAATAAACACTTGAGAATTTCCTTCTTTGGCTCCTCTAGTCAATCTTATCAATACTGTCAGGTTGCAAGCACGCACAGAAAAGGTCTCGTTTTTGTGAAGAGTACATATACTTGGAACTGTAACAAAAAGAAAATCAGAAGGGTTCAACTTCTAGAGCAGATGGAAGCAGATGTCACCCTATCTGCACATACTGACTTGCAATGGTATGGTTTTCAATGAATTTCTACAACTGCCCTGCCAGTTGCAGGCCCAAGAAGTAAGTGCCCAGCTGTAAGGACAGAGATTGCTTCCCCCTCCCACCCCAAATTCCCGTATCCTCCAGTGACAAGACAGCAGGTCAAATTCAGCCTGCAGGTAACCTGGACTACACTGATGTAAGCAGCAATTGTTTTGTCGATACTCAGCCTTGATGAACATGACATACTCTGCTGCCAGTGTGCCTTCTCCTGTTGGACATTGGAGAATGACTACGGCTCCTTCGACGACGGTATTCTGGCGTGTACGATCTGCTTCGAGAACGTCTCCTATGGGAATGAGAATGGGAATGGGATCTGGAACGAGTGTAACGTCTGTGCGAATGTCTTCTGGACCTGGATCTTCAACAAAGAGAAAGCTTTTAGTTAGGTTATATGCACGTGAAGTATTCAATTGTAAGCCTTACATTTCCTAGAGAAAAATCTTTTTTTTTAGAGGCTCTCTACAATTAAAATAGCTAAGTTTCTTCTACTTTGCACATCTAAAGATTGCGTGGATCTCCAATAACCTACTTGGTAGCATCATTTTTAACTTTGTGAGAGCGCTTCTGGCATACAACGTGGGTTATATTCACAACAGTTTTCGGAAGTTCAAAGTTTAAACTTATATCAGCTTGGCTGCACACGTAACTAACACTTGCACAATGATACAGAAACCAGATATGCCACACTGTAAAATACCGTCGTGGCTGAAAAATGGAAAGATCTAGCAGCACTACAGTGCTGCAGTACCTACAAACGAAGTTCACCTAGGCTTGAAAATTATTCAAGACAAAAAAAAAAAACCTGCTTAACTCCTCAAGCATTTCTTTGCAGACATCTAGCCAACGATAAGCTCAGTTTTAAATAGGCATCATTCCATCAAAGTTGCATGATTTCATACGGGCATTATATCCTAACAATGGGTAGTTAATTATCTGGCTAAACGTTGCAAGAAGAGAAGCTATAACATTAGGCTGAACTTTGGGAATTCAGAGCACAGTAACTCTTTTTTTGGCTGCCCTAGTATAAAGTGTATAAATAGGGAAGATGGATTACTGATCTCTCCCAAGAACTGGGGAGGAAGAACAACATGATACTATGCAATTCCTCTTCCCCCCCAGAGCTACAAATGCTGTTTTCTGGTTTCCCTCTCCATTGATGAACGGATTCAGTAGCTCTCCCCATTTTCACCAGTATGATGGTACAAGGGAAGAGAGAAGATCAGTAGTATAAGCCAGGTAATGCGTATGACATATTTAGAGAAAAAAAGACAGACATTCCTCCTCTGTTCTGAGCAAGCTCTCTCAGAACTGAGAACTATGAAACTTTGCCTCTGCACACACACACACTTGGGGCAGAAAAGGACACGTGCAGCATCAAAAAATGAATTTAAATCTTAGAGCTGCCATAAATCAAGAAGCTATCCACACCCAATTTAAGCCGTAGTTTTCGAATTTTGTTTTTTAAAGCCTAGATTTTGTTTTTAAAGCCTCCAATGAAGGAATGTCAAGAGCTTCCCCAAGTAGCGTCTTCCAACATTTCCAACAGCTACAAGAGCTTACTCCTTTTATCTAACCCAGACTACCTTTGCTGCAGTTCTCACTTTTTTCCCCTAAAGGAGAGGTCCACACAAGAGTTCCCCCCCCCGAAGATTTTCAGGGAAGGAGGCAGGAGCTTTTACAGAATTGAGATGCAATCCCTTCTCTCTATTCTGGAAGAGATAAACCTACAAGTTTTAGTTGTGGTTTCTACATTACTTCTTCTATTTATATTACTTTCTTTAGTCATACCCATGCTTTATTACTCATGGAATCTTTCCCCAACTTTGTCCACCTATATAACCACTAACATGCAAATTAACATAGCCCTGTTAATACACCCCAGAAGGTTTATAATTTTTACAACAAGGGGAGAAGAAATCTCATCAATGTACCAGAAGAACAGGCATAAGCAGTAACACTGAATTAACACGAATAACGTCCTGGACATACCTTGATTTTGATCTTGACCTAGAGTGCGATTCAGAATGTTTGGAAGCCCTCGATGGACTGCGAGATCCTGACCTGCTCTCCGATTTTACACGAGCAGGACTCCCAGCTGGAGATTTTGACTGGGAGCGAGACTCCTAACAAAAAAGACAGTATTAAAAATGGTATTGGTTGTATAAATGCCTAACTCCTAACATTTAAAGTACAGTAATTCTATTATATTGATTGCTCCTGAAAAACAAATGGTTAGGCAATACCCTCCAAAACAAATTTCATTTTGCTAACCCACTGTTAATATTGTATGCTTTCCTCAAATAGGTCCCTGCTTGAACCAGATCACCAATTCTCTATTAACTAAGTAATCATGCAAATTCATCTACAACTTGATCATACAGACACTGGAACATAAACCATACATTTACTTAACCTAGGACCCATTCATTCTTCCAGATTCTTTTAATTCTACTTCACTCTTGCTTTCTACTTTTCTTCATTCTTCATTGAGTTTTTCATTTTTCATACTTCGTGTATTCTTCCCCAATTCAAACAATTCATTATAGCCTTAAAAAAATATTCAAGTGCTTCTATCTGACCAATCTTCTGTTCAATTTTTTCCCCCATTCAATTTTAATTTTCTGATCTTTAATACTTTTCATTATACTTCTTTTATCTTGATTTATCTTCCACATTCTTGGAAAAAACTCTTCAATTTCTTCACGAACATTACCTTAATGGAATTTTTTCCCCCATTCAATTTTAATTTTCTGATCTTTAATACTTTTCATTAGCCTTCTTTTATCTTGATTTATCTTCCACATTCTTGGAAAAAACTCTTCAATTTCTTCACGAACATTAACCTTAATGGAAAAAGAACATTTAGTATATTTAAGCACGTGGGGATTATAAAACTCTGCTGGAGTTCAGATGTTATCTACCAAATTGAAAAGCCAGCAGGTAAAGTGCAAGACACTATTTTATAAAACAACTTTTAAAAAAAAAAATCTTTAAAACTGTATAAGTGTCTATGTTCTAACAATAAGCTTACTGAGTTCTCAGTGTTTTACTGTATTTTCAAAGCTACCCTCCTCCCCTTTCAGATTTTTTCTGTAAGATACACAGATACACTAAAAACTAATTAGCATAAATATATTAAAGTATTGATAACAATAACTGTGTTTTCCCCCTAAAATAATAACTATGTACTCCTCAGTATCGATATCCCAAATTCTATTCCTACACATTATTACTAGGACACTCGCAGTTCAACAGAATGGCCAAAGATTTCCAGTCAAACCTATCTATGCACATACTTACTCACATAATACATGCACATAGATATATGCAACATAAATTATTTTCTTCCTACTTTTTCTTCCTCATTGTTATCCTGTTTTCCTTGCATACAACTTAATCCATATAAAACAAGATGTATGATAGTACAGTTCAAAGCAATCCAATAAAAGTAAAGACAGGAGGGTTTTTTTCTTGCATGGTAATGCACACAAGAGAAAAACTAGGAAAACAAGCAAACAAAGAGTAGGTTAGGATTTCCTCATGTTTTATAGTGTACAGCATTTCTAGGGAGCTCAGCTATAAGAAACCCCTACAGAATAGTATGCTATATACATCTGTAACCTCACAAAAAATGTGCAAAATTCTTAATAAAAAAATGCATAGCAAGTTCCCCTCCCATAAGTATTAAATTTCATGTTTATTCAAATAATTTCTCCTCCTGCCTATCCTCACAATGTTTTTCCTCAATTTATTTCTTACTCTGCCTATGTCCAGATTTGCATTTTCTTTTGCAGTTAAATTCTTCAGTACAAATAGGCTGAAGTTCTTTTCAAAGGATGCTGTCCTCACATTTCAAGACAGTAAATCCACCAGAAATGGAACCTGAGAGACTCCTTACTAACAAGTATTACAGCTACGCTACCCTTCCCCTTTACCTCAATAAAAAGGACAAGGGACACATGGAGAACGTCACCTATTGGGATGATAGGCCTGCCAAACTTATCAATGAAGGCCAAATTCGAAGCTTGGCTGTGACACATGGACAATATAATCAGGTCTGCGTTACAGGTTACCCTTATTAAGCTGGCTATCTGCTGATCTAGCTACATGACTTTCACCAAAATAAAAGTATGTATGTGCACTTAAATATTACCAAATTTTGTTTTTATTTTTACATTTGAAATCCACTGTTCACTATAAAAAAATACATTTCTTTTTAGAACCACTAACATGCTTTTTAATCACCTCGCCTCTACCTTTGTACTCTTCGTTGTTTGATAGCCTCCTTAATTCCTCCCTTTACACTTCATCCCCTGCAACAATTACTGATTTCTCTGGGAATTATTTGCACTTCCCTCCCTAGTAAAAGTGATCAGCAATATGGAAAAACATTTAATGTGACAGATTTAGAAAACATCCTTCAATAAAAAGACAAAGAATTCACGCTCCTCAGTCACTCCTTCATGAGGATACTGTGTTGTCCATACTTTTTACATTTGAAAGATCAATTCCTGAACAACAACAACTTTGGAAACTTGGGGGAGGGGGGGGAGGGAAAAAAGAAAAAAAAACCCAACACACACCAAAAACCAGATAATGCACAATCTAGAAGTGTTGGGATGTGCCAAAAATACCAAGGACCCAACCACTCCCATACAATGTAAAAGTTAGCTTAGTGTCCTTATCTATTCAACTGAAGCATCTTATGACACCACCCGTAAGAGTTTCTAATAGCATCAGTTATGACAACAAATCTGTATTATGTTGCCAAAAGCAAATATTACATCATTTCATGTAGGTCAAGTCCTTTTGGAACTGTTTAAGCCCCTTAGGGGCTGCACTCACAAACATACAACTTTAAAATTGGAGTGACAGAGGTGACAGCATAAGTTCTTACACATTTCAAACCTCCTCAAACAAAGTAACTGTAGATGTAAACTGCAGCTAAAGAGAGATTACCTGTTAGCAGTTGCATACTGTGTCTGTCATTGGCAGGCAATTACATCTCATCTTCTGATTCAACATAGATCACCTAGTTATATCTCCTACAGTGCTTCAAAAGGAGAGACTAAGGGAATCACAATAATCTGCAAGAGTTTAAGGACTTAAGGATGACACTGAAAAAATACCTAGTAAGATTTATATCAGCAAGACTACAGGCAGGAATTAAGAGATTCAGAGCTTCAAGGAGTCAAAGGGAGATTTTAAAGAATTTTCTTCCTCTACTTCCTAAAATAAGGAAATAACTAACAAGCTATATCTTAGCCTATATCACAGACCGACCCAATTGTTCTGCATAAACAATTTACATCCAATCTGCAACATGAATGAGAAAATTAAATAGTTAACATTCTTCCTTAGTACGTCATATTTAATGAGAGAAAATAGACACCTCTATTATCCAAAGCATTAAAATCTCTCAATTCTGTACTAGTCTTTAAGCAATCTATACATTCTGATCTTAGCTCCATCGTTATCACAGAAATTAATTTAAATACTGCTTAAGAGAGAAAAGACTAAAATTTCTCTCTGGATCCTCAACATTTTCTTATCTTTCTGTTCTAAAGATCCTCAGTAATTTAAGGGCCACAGATCAGACTGCATTTCTTAAACTCAGCTTCTCATCCCACACCTATCTTATAAAACAGTATGTATTTTAATGCCTTCTGCTTTATTATGCAACTGTCCAGTTGCTACTTTCACCCTTACAAACTTATAGGCAGATACTCACTGTGACCATGTCAAACTAGATTTGCTGTCACTACAGCCTCTAGGAAGATAGTCAGCTAACTTCCTAATATTCTTCAGATCAGACTCCCCTTTCAAAACAAATGCTACATCTGTCAATAACACTTTTCCCAGGGCAAAACTAAAAAGAAAAAAAACACCACCAAAAACAAAAACAAAAAAACACCAACCTAAAAAAACCCAAATAAAAACCACACCAAAAAACCCACCTAAAATAATTTTTAAAAATCTCAATCATAACAGTGTGCTTCCTCAGAATAAGATGTGGTGGCTTCCTCAAGCACATACCAGGAAATGGGATTAATGATTCACCAAGAAGTGAAACTTGGAGCCAAAGAAATTATTGTAGGTAAACACAAAATCTAAAGACTGCAGCTTCAGTTATTGATTCTCTGAATAAGAAGATGCACAGCTAGAAGCATTTAAAGAGAGCACTGAAGAGTATTTTTCATCCTTTCTACCTTCTCTCTTCCCAGAAAGAACAACATGAAACAAAGTGGTATGGAAAGGGTATCTTCGCCCTGCATTACCTCATGATCACATAAACTCAGTCATTGAAAAACTATCAACAACTTTAGGTGATCCAGCTGAGCCAAGATGTCAGTCATGTCAATGCATTTCATCCATACTGGTACAACTGCTTAAACCATATAATTGATGCAAGTTATATCTACCGCTTATCTTCCTCGCATCCTTGAAAAGAAATGCTACTTTCCAATATAATTACTATTTTAAAAGCATTCGAAACACTTCTATGCAAAGTAGAATTGCAAAAGTCTTTAAGAAGTATTCTTTCAGTTTCCACCTATCATGAGAGGGTATGATAAAAACATGAGGAGAAAAAAAAAAAGACAAAATTGTTCTTTCTTTTACATCACTCTTGTGTCCTGAACTTCTGTCATGCCTTACCTCACACCTTACCATTTCAGAGTATGACAGAAAGGCTATCAAAATTTAAAGTGAGATGCTAAATAAAAAGAACTGAGTAAGCTTAAATTAGGCTTTCTATAGCAAAGCACGGGAAGTGAAATGGGAAGGAAAAAAAAAATCATTAAATCACACAGAAATTTCAGTTGAAATTCATTTGACGTTGTTAAGAAGAAATACACATGGGGAGAAAAAAGGACAGGACAACAAGTAGTCTAGCAATACCATTAAGCCAGCAAAATGATAGTTCAGACTTTACAAAAATCCTGCTAAAAACTCCTGCCCAAACTAAACCTAAAAAAAAAAAAAAACCCTAAAAAAAAAAAAGCCAACTTTATAAGGGGACAGAAAAATATAAGCAGTCAAAAAAGAAACAAATTTAGCAGCAGCCTACATTCAGTGGATAAAACTGTCAGTTTAGGGACATCTCGTTTATGAGAAAGGACAAGATTACATTTTAACCACCATTTTAACAGGAATCTACCAGCTTTCCCTGAAACTCACAAGAGAAGTTAAATAATTTTTGCTTCATACTATATTCTGTCACTCTATACTAAAAATAAAACTGATTCCTTAATTAGCTGTTCTTCTATAAATATTTCAATAGTATACGTAATAAGCTTCTGTATAAAAAGCAACTCAGAAGTTGTGCTATCTTGAAGACGTGTATTTTAAAAGTTACCAACATCAGCAAACTTTATGCATTTCTCAAGGATACTGCTCTGATTTCTGATTAAAAAAAAAAAAAAAAAAAAGGAGGAAGCTTCAGCAATAAACTTTTTGAAATTACAAGTTAATCTTCTCACTGAGGCATGAAAATATGCCTCTTCATGGAGGGTTCTGTAGTCACTCCTGTATCACACATGGAAGATAGGAAACGGAATTTGTTTTCAAAAAGAGCAGTCTTCCCAGCTGACATGGTCCAGAACAATCTAGAATTTATTAAGCTTAAGAAAAAAAACTGACTTCCAGAAAAAGTTTCCTTTCCCACACTGGTCATTAGAAACCACAAAGTGATCACAGCACTGTCCAAGCGAATGCAGAACTCCCGAGCACAAGCAGACTGTCATGCCTGTATTTCAAAAGGTATGGAAAGCAATGTGCCTTCCTTTCCACAAACGTTGCAGATTGCCACTACAGGACAGGTTGAATGCAATAGCTAAACAGACTTCCCCCCACATTTTTTTTTTTTTTTTTGCCAAAGAAATTATCTCAAAGTTGATCAGATTTAGGTAACTAGCATTAGAACACACATGAAATCAAGTATTTTGCACACAAGCTTCATGAAGCAAATACAAGACACATTTACAGTTAAGCTAATCCAAAAGCTGCTTGCATACATATGAACGATGCATAGTTCCTTCAACAAGATGGCTCACATGCAAAATCATATATTTCTTCAAGTGCTTTATTAGACTGAGATCACTGTGAGATTCTGAACAGAGCAGGAAGAGGCATCTCATTAGAATGAAGGAAGACAACCAATGTGGAGTTCTAAAATGGGAGTTCTATCTTTGTTCTGATAAAAAGGTTTATCTATTTAGACAAATGGCACATTAATATTGGTAGAAAACTACTAAGACTACAGAAATCAAACATTATCAGAAGCTCAAAAAAATAACTGATCAAAGTTTCAAGTGGCACTTCTGAAGTGCAGGTTTGTTCAGACTCCGACTTGCTCACTGCTCTGGGAAACATTTTAATAAAGTTGCATCACAGAATGCACACCAAATGAACAATGTGTTATTAAAAACAACAAATATGAAAGGAAATAAGAATTGCCTGTCATCTGACAGCAATAAAACACAGAAAAGCCTCATTTGTCTAACCTGCTCACAAAGAACATTCAATGGTGATAAAATCCTATGACTTTTCCAGAAGTCAAGTCAATGGATAAGAAGCACGACTTAAAACCTTTTTTTCTTCTTAATGTCCATAAACTTAGTTCTAGCACATCCACTATATTTCTAATTCTTCTGTCAATTTCTTTCCATTAAATCACCATGCTTGCTTGGGGAGTGGGGGGGTGGGGTGTGTTTCTTCTGTTCAACCAGCCACATTCTTAATACAGAACTTGCTTAAGTTGAAAAAAAATGACACAAAAACAGAGCAGATGTTAATTAGTCTGAGCATATTTGATTAACATTTGCTTTAAAAAAAAAGTCAATAAAGAAATGAGTGAGCTCAAGAATAAAAAAATCTCTGCAATGATTTTACCCAACACTTTAGAAATGCAAGTTTTTAAATAGCACAAATTATGCAATCTCATTGGAAAGTTATTTCCATGATTATTCTAAATTTCCTGTTCAGATTAATTAATATTATGATTTTAAAATCATAAATTAGAGGCAAAGTACATACATGGACAGTATCTTAATGCTACTAAAAATAAGCTTTTTTTAAAAAAAGTAAAATTCCTGATCATATTGTGGGAAAATTAAAAAATTTAACTGAATTATCATTATTTATATGAACATTTTTCTTCACAAAGTAAGTAGCAAAGCAGGACAACACTTTCTAATTAATCTCTTTAAGACAAAACTTCATACATATCAATAAGCACCTTCATCTTGGTATCAGACTTCATCACTACTTGCAAGAACTTTCACTGAAGTGCTTTTGGGACAATATGCATCTACACGGATAGAATATAAAAGGACTTAAACTCCCTTACTCCTTCAGCATTTAGTTTTTTAAAAGCACATCACACTTCAGTATTTAAACTGAAGGGGGGTGGGGGTGGTTTAGAACTGAAAGGGTACTCAGAGTTCTTATTTGTGGCAATTTCCTGGAAAGCAGGTTCTTTACAAACTTTTTTCCAGCTTCTGCAGTTCTTTCTCCCATTGAAAACTTATGCCATACTCTCTCAGTTCCACGTGCCTGCATATAGCAGACTGAAGCACCAGGACATTCAGTGCATAATACAGTTCTATCCAATTGGGAATAGCAGACTAAACACTAAAGCCCTGAAGTTACACATGCTTAATTTTATGCCTGTGAGCACTTTCAGTGAAAATGAAATATAAAATATTACAGCCTGAAATATAATTTATTTTAGTAGCATCAACAACAAAAAAGTTATTACTGAAGAAAAAAGAACTGCTTACAAATGTTCTTCATTAGTAAGACAAAAAAACAAAACTATAAATGAATCAAGTACCTGCCATTATGTTCAGTTATAAAAAAAACCCCAAAAAACAGTAGACAAGACACTGCCACATGCCAGATTGATTGAGAAATTCCAGTTTTAGGGAGAGAAAAGAAAAGTTTTCCAAATGAAGACTCAACACAGTCGGCAGCTCTTTCCAACAGGTAAATTTTCCACCACAAAAAAAAGAACAAGCCAACTAAGAAGTAGCAGTCACAGAAACTGCTACGTAGGACTTTTTGGACTTCACACACTCTCAAAACATTATTTTACTTCTACATTTGGAAGAAGGCATGCAGAAATACTGAAACCACACAGCTATATCAGCTTTGTAACATGAACAACAGATCCATCAAGGAACCTAAAACAAATGTGCTATGGATGAAAGTAACAGAAGTATTTCCTAACAATAAACCGCACTGGGAATACAGACAAGAAAATATTTTTTAAAAATATCTTACTGTAAAATGGGAGATTGAAATAATTTTTTTTTAAAATTAACAACAAAGCATACTATTGCTCAACTTTCTCAGACTTAGTTGGTTTACCCTTCAGAGATTAGTTTATTCAGCTGAAAAGAGCTTAGCTATATAGCCATCTTTGTCCAAGCAATCAACACAAGAACACATTTTGTTTACCTCGCCCGAGGAACCAGCAGCACTGCCTGCACAGCCAGGTACAGCACTCTCAGCCTAGGGAATATGGGGGTTTTTTTACTAACACTACAAAAGGGTACCAATATTCATGTAAAAATAATTATTGGAATATGACACTGCTCTTCCAAAATTTCATTGCTTGTCTCCCCAGGCAGTAATGTTATATAACTGCAAAGCTGCTGCCACTGGTTCATCAGAGAAAGTCACCAAAAGGATGCTCAGGTGTTCCTCTAAAGCATCTCTTTAAGAGTGAACCAAAAAAAAAAAAATCTCTGCAAAATTAAGAGTAAATAGTGATGGAGGGAGGACAAAGCACACATTTCATTCCTGTTTCAAGCAGCTTTAATTCCTGCTTGCCCTGATCACCACTAAGAAAAAAAAAAAACCATTGAAAATGGAAGGGTCCAGTCATACGTGTACATGAAAAACCGCAGCAATCGGAGGGAAGAGAGAAGAAACAGGCCTAACAAGGTTACAAAACCACAGCAGCTTGTTGAGAGAAAGTCTTCAGCTGCGTGATCAATGGGTTCCAACAGTTTAACAACGAAGGCCCTACCTCCCTGATGGCTTCAGGAAGCCTGGCCCGAAGATCCTGTTTGCGGGCCAGCAGCCAGGAGAGGCAGCGCACCTCTCACAAAAGGACCCAGTCCCTCCTCTTTTACGCGGGCGGAGGCCTCGACTACCCTGAGCGGGACCGCGCTCTCCCAGCCACGACCGGGAGCCCGGCACTGCCCGCAGGCAGAGAGGGGACGGGGAAGGGCAACGACCCCGAAGCCTAGACCCGGCAGACAACAGAGGGCCGGGACAACAGGACGCCTCGGGATCACGGGAAGGAAAGAAAATGAGAGAAGCAGGGAGAAATACCGGGCTACAGCAGCGCTCTAAGCCCTGTTCTTAAAGAAAAAACCTGCGCTAGCAGGATGGAGGCGAACCCGCAGCACCAGAGCTCAGGGCCCGTACCCCGACGGAGGGGGATGGGGACAGAGAGACGTGATGAGAGAAGGAAGCGTGTGAGGGTTAAGACAGCGGAGCTCAGCTCCGCGCTGAGCCAGTTCCTCAGCGCCAGGTCGGCAAAAAAAAGGAGGGAGATAGGGAAAGGAGAGGGACGTGAGTCGCCCACGGCCCAGTCAAGACTCGGGCGCCTGAAGAAGCCATTTTAGAGACAAGCTGCGTTGCCCCCACCCCCACCGGGCCGGAGGAAGAGCGCCCCCACCCACCTTCCCCGGGACAG